ACGACGGCATTACTAATGAAAACAGGGACCGGGATTTGGGAGAGGTGATCGAGCGGCTGGATAATCTGACCTATGCAGTCGAGAACATTCATTCGTATCTCTCCTCCACCGGTGAGTCGTTTCAATTATTTGCTCCTGCACATACATGGGGTGCTGACCGGAGCTTAGGAACCCCAACTTCCAGTGGGCGGTCCGCCGCACCGCAGCAAATGGGAGGACAGTTGGACCTTCCAGTAGAAGACACAGAGCCATACAAAGACTACCTACAGATTCCTTCTAGTCGTGGTAGCGCCGATACGGTCCTCACATGGCCGATTTTCCGCGGACGATTTCGCGAAAATGCTCTAATCACGACCTTATTCCAGTCGTCACACGGGGCGGAGAGCTCTGCCATCGAGACATGGGTTGTACCCGATGGGTTCCAACCGACGAATGAGGAGCGCATTCCAGCCCTGGTAGATCAGTTCATTCAAAACGTGCACACGAAGAATCCAATCCTGGATCTAGAAGCCCTCATTCGCTGGGGCCGGCATGCTGCGGAGTTCGGACTCCGATGGGATGCCCAGTCCTGTCTCGTCCTGCTAGCGTGTGCACTTGGGTGTGTCTCTCAGGCCTTCACGCTGTCTATGAAAGCACCCTTTCAAGGCGAAAGAACAACGCATACCTCCGATGAAAAGTCCTCCTTGGCGTCGGGGTTGAAAGAAGGCGAAACATTCTTCGTGATGGCTTGCCGAAGAATTGGCCTTCTACGATACTCCGTACTTGGGGCTCAGTGCCACTTCTTTGCAGGAGGTTTGTAAATTTACGGATGAAGTTCTCTGTAATGACAGATATTGATCGTTGTCTAGTTTACCTGATGTATACGTTTCGGCCGCTGGCGGCTTGGAATCATTTCTACCAAGCCTCAACCTTTTATCGACTACGGTTGAGAATGATTGATGGGTTGAATATTGACGACGATCTTTCGGTGGATGAAGTGGCTCAGCGCGGGACTTCAGTATCGCGACACATGGAACAGAGCTTGTATTGGTCGTGTTTCAAATCCGAGGTAGAGATACGAGTCGAGCTCCCTTTGCCACAGTCGGCGATCGCCGAGTACGAATACCCAGCGTTGTTCCCAACCCCGCCGAATCTCTCAGAGGACTACCCAGAAGGCGGATCACACGGAGCTGGATGGTCAACATCCTGGAATACGTCCAGACCAACAAGTAGTTACCAAAGTAATCGAGCCCAAACATCATTTGGCGTGCGAAATCACATCATGCAACTCTTCGATGAAGAACAAAGCTGGTACTACTACCTGACTGAAGTGGCGCTCAGACGGATTGGAAACCGTGTGCTCAATGCCTTCTACCGAAAGGGACAGTCTATGTGGTCGGACATCAGGCCTTTCATTCCTCTGGCACTAGAGTTTGAAACACAGATTAATGCATGGTCTGCTAATCTTCCTCCAGGGCTGCGGCACTACAAGGACAATGAAAGCAGTGGTCAAAGCAGAAATCGTTTCTCTGAGATGCAGGACTCAATATCGCTCGAGCTCAGTTGGGCCATCGCCAACCGATTGTTAGAGATACGCCTATGGCTGTATCAACCCTTCTTGTATTTCGTCATACATCATCCAGTCAACACTGGACAGGAGGCTGGAAGAACGCGAAGTTCATCATTTACCGGCGAGGAGCTATCAACTATCGCTGTCCTAGTCCAGTCCGGGATGCACTGTGCTCTGAAGATTTTGGAAGCAAGGTGTCTTCGCCACCGCCATCATGGGATTTGGTTCGACCTTCGAGCCCTTGTGACTAGCTCTCTAATTGTGATTGCTGCCATCAAGAGCGGCAACCTTGACGTGCCGGGGATCGACCGTCCCATGGATTTGAAGACTCATTTCGAGGGCACACTACAAGCACTTAGTTACTGGGAAGACGAGGCTCCAGATATCAAGAAGGCTCGCGGTATCTTGGAGGGCTTGCTTACGGAAGTGGGCTAATCATCATTACAGTGCGATGCAGCCAATTGCACTATCTTCATACATATCGTCGATGCCCGATAACTTTTATTTCTTATGTTATGGAGTATATACATTATTCACATGAGCTCATCAAGCGGCTGACCGTGGTTGGTATCTGTCAATTCGCCAGATCTCTTCAAAAAACAGTCTTGTAGCGTTCTCCTAGTCCTCAATCGCCTTGGCCTTCTCTGTGTCCGAGAGATTACGAGCTCGGGTTGCTTGCGTCAGCTCAGGATTATTTTCCACCAGCGTTTGGAAGTTTCGCTCGGCATCCCACACCCAAAGGCTGTTGGCTGCGAACAGCAGATCTATTTGCTCCAAAGTGCGCTGATTTGACTCGGGGTACAAAGCCCACACCATGGGGATCGTAATAACGTTGGCGATCCCGAAAATATACAGGGTCTTCTCTCCAATGGAAGAGAACATGATGGGACAGAGGAGAGTCTAGAGAGGTTGCAGAATTAGTGTCCAAACGGGCGTCAAGTATCGATTAGCACATACCAGCCACCCATTTCCAATACTCCATCCTACTACACCCCATGCATTTCCTTTGGCACGAACCGCGAGGGGGAATATTTCTGCAGGATACAGCCACGGAACCGCTGTGACAATGTGGTTAGTATATTGTGGTGCTTGCCATACGGAAGTGCGAATGAGCGTGTTGACTTACTGAGCCAAGTCGCTCCAAAGATAGAAGTGAAAATAAAGACCATAGAGGCGGCAGCAGCACCATACGATGAAGCCTTGCCGGTATCTCCTGCAGCGTTTGCTTGTTTACAGAGATACGAGAAACCTCCGGCAAGGAACATCGCGATTCCCTGCCCGACAGAACCCCAGTACAAGGTCCAGCGACGGCCAATACGGTCCAAGGTGAAGACACAGACTAAGGTTGAGAACTGTGTGTGTGATTAGCAATGTCTATCGACAACCCTTTCTCAATCAGTCTTACCATGTAGAAGACATTGTTCAGACCACTCACCCACTGGCTTTTCTCGGTATCAAAGCCAGCCATTCGGAAGATGACAGGGGCATCTGCCCTCAGTTAGTCTCTCTTCATTACTGGTTCACCTTAGAAATGTTGGTAGCAAACGGTCTCACTTACAAACTGTTACCCCCGCAATTCCCACCCATTCCTGCATGATTTGCAGCCATACAACCAGCTGTACCCGGCGACCGATGTGAAGATTGCCTGAACCTCTCCCAGTGATCATGGAGAAGTATGAGGTGCTGTACTTCTGAGATCTTTCGAGCTCAGCAACGTTGCATATATCCCGGAATTCAGCCTCTGCCTTGTTCCCGTCCTCGGGGCCTGTTCCACGTAACCGACCGAGGATGTAGCGTGCTTCCTCCTCGCGACCAACCTTGACCAACCATCTTGGAGACTCGGGGAAGAACCAGACGAGGCCCAGCAATAGGAATAAGAGAATAATTTGGAACGCAATGGGAAACCGCCAACGTATGGCTGAACGCCCTTCATCGATGAACGAAAGGCCGCTGGAGTATAAGATTAGCACGAACGCGGTCCAACGTGGTGTACGAGGTCTGTAGCTGGATGACTTACAATTCTAACCAATATGCCACCACGACACCGAAGATGTTCAATGTGAATTCGATTGCGATGAATTGACCACGAGATGTGTGTTCGGCCGTTTCCGTTGCCCACACGGGAACAATTGCATTCAGAACTCCAGTGCCAACGCCGTTAATCAACCGAGCTAGTTATGGTCGTGATCCATCAGTTCTGTTAAGCAAGAAGAATATGTGCCAGGTTACCATGGGTGTGGGCAGGGCATACCGCAGATAATCCATTGATGATTCATAGCCGAACACTGCAGTGCAGCACCAATAATGGCCCACACTGATCCAACTGCAATACTCTTCAACCGTCCGATTCTTTCGCCAATCCAACCCCCGAAAAGAGCACCGACCAGGGTACCTAAATAATAGACGGAGACAATGCCACCCTGAAGCAGACTGTCGGTGACAACCGGGACATTTGTGTCACCGTCTATATTCGCTCCGTAGCCTATTCCCATGAGCTCGAGATAATCGCTGGAGTTGTTCACTCCCCCCATCATCCCTTGGTCGTAGCCAAAGAAGAATATAGCCAAGGCAGCCACGCAATTGATGGCGACCAGCAGTTTCCGCTTCTCCAACTTGTGGACGACATTCCACCTATGGATCTGGTTCGTCATGATGATTAGGCCGATAGGCGACTAGGATATGAGCCTCAGAAAAACAAGATAGCTGGGCAGATAGGAAGGTCTGCAAACTGCAGAGGGACAAAATATGATGCATTGTATTCTCGGGGGGTATTGAAACTTTTATACATTCCTGACGGCTGTACCCCAGATCCAGGTTGTTGGACCCCAACGTGGAGAATCCGGGGAGACACGCCTACATACAGCTTACAGTCACGATTCCTTGATAACTACTGACGGATTCCACGCCGTTTTCTCCGTTAGCTCGCAAGTGTTCCCCACTTGGACCCGAACCGCTAATCCTAGTCTGTCGTAGAACACGAAGTTCCAGTCTTCTATGGCACGTGCCGGCATAAACGCCGTTGTCGCCCGCGCGCTCGCCCTGGCAGCTCCACCGAGACCACTGTCAAGACAATGTCATTGTGGATAAACTCGTCACGATTTCCCCATTCACCCTTTACCTCAAAGGGTATCAGGATATTTTGACTTCAGCGAATGCCATAGACCCACCAGGAAGTCGGATACCAGCCCAAGGTGGATATGTAGTGCCGTCGTCCGTAGCAAAAGGTCATCTGGAGGATGGCAGGAGACACAGCGAGCTATGGCGAAATAATACTCTCATGGCCTCAAGGCTCTCATGGGTGTCATCGACGATGGATTTCAAGTCATATCTAGGTGTGTGTGTCGCTTGTTGCTATCCTCATTACACCATCAACGAAGACCCCAATCCTGTCTTTAGATTCTGTGATTTGATCCACCTATATTATAGCAGAGCGCTTCGCACTCCGCTATTATCAAAGGGGCAGTATCTCCGACTCCCAGGGATCGCAGTTACCGTCGTTTTGGGTTGAGCTACCACCCTGGGAACGGCGATACCACAATCGGATTCCGGACCCATCAGACAGGGCACCTGCACGCATCGCACAAATACGCGCACGCTCAGGAACAAGCTCACCCTGTGTAAGACCCTCCGACTCAATCTCGATCATTCGATTCACAACAAAAGCTGTCCCGGAACTTGTCCAGGCCCCTTCTTGAAGGTGCCATCTCTGCAATAGCCGCACCGCCTCTCTCCGAATATACCAATCGCGGCACCGGAAGGCACAAAGGTAGAGAGGCGGGATCATACCCATTCCGACGGAGAATGTTGGTATGGGAGACTGACTGAAGTCGGAAGAAAGAACAGATTGGGCGAGCTGGACCACACGCCGGAAGTTTGATGTGAAAGAGTCAAACCTGCTTTCTCCCTCGTCCTGCCTACTATCTGTCGAGACTCGGATGATGATAATCTCAGTCCATAAGTCGAGGGCAGCTAGTGTATGACGATCTCTTGGTGATAAAATCGCTTTCTCGCGAGCGAGTGACTCAGTTAGTTCTGTCTTCCAAAGCTGGAGCTTTTGCAAAATCGCGTCCTGGTGTTTATCCAGGATCTCCCTAGCCACGGCCATCTTACTGTTGCCCGGATCGTTCTCACATACAAGCCACGCCAGACCAATCAAGAGATTACATGCGTCTCCAAGGGAATGTACAGGCTTGCGCCACACCGGGTTCTGGAGAGCCATAGAATGAACGATGGAGTGATCGTGCCCTAAGATAACCGCCTCTGGCTCCCGGAGACTCGCCCAGTGCAACTCTAAATGGTAGAATACATCCGTCAACGCTCGTCCATACTCCATGCTCTTCTTCGTATTGCTTAGGTATGACTCCTGCAGGAGACGGGCCCCATGCCGTAGATGACAACTGGCTGCGTTGGTATCTCCTTGGAGGAATGCAAACGAAACGAAAAGAACGCAAGTAACCAACGTGATAAGCATGTGGGAATCCTGCCCACAGCTTGCACTCTGCAATCTTTGTTGCAAACAAGTAATGGCCTTGTTACACTGTCGCAGGGGAAACAATTGAGGATCGTCTTGATTTCCCAGGTTCTGTGAAGACTTTATTGTGTCGAAACTTCGATGGAGGGCACTGATGGCAATGATCGCATGACGGACAGCCGGCTCCTCCTCACTGACCTGATGCACCATTTGATGCCAAAATTCCAGCGGAAAGTAGCCCGAGCATTGCGAAGCCGTGCTGGAGCGAAAGAAACCCAGATACCAACGCTCGGACAGCGACAGATCGGCTTGGCTCGGATCTACTAAAAGGCGGGAAATCCAGGTACCGGATTCGTTCGCCACAGTAACTTGGTTCTGTCGAACTTCAATTGTTGTCGTGTAAGGTAAGTCAACCGTGGCTTTGGTGGTTTTCCAGGCTCGAGTTCTTCGATCGATGGTGTCCTGATAGCCGCCGCACTCGCGCCCTGCGCTGACACAAGTGCGACAACATGGGCGAGCCTCGTCACATTTCTTCCGCCGAGCCCTATCAAGCTGGGAATTAGTACTGAACTGCCCATCCAAACAATCGCTGCCGTCACGCTCCTCGGTCAGGGGCAGCCGGAGCGATATCCTAAGTCGGATTATCGCGCGTCGGTGGGCGATCTTACTTGCAGGTCACACAGCCAGTGCGCACCTTGGGACGGCTCGTCCGAGAGCGTCGCTCCTTGGGTGGTGTGTGCAGAGGGTCCATTTTAAATCTTCCTGGGCCTCTCCTGGATCTCGCTTGTCCAGGTTCATTGCGTGACGTGTTGGAACAGAGACACGAGGTGGGTTGCGGCGGTTATGCCGAGGAGTGGAGACTGCCACCGAACTCTCGTTCAAGATCGGCGCTTTTACTCAACTTCATTGGCCAAGAGAATGATCTCGACTCAGTCTTCGGTCGGTCGGCGTATATGCAGCCCATTCTTTCGAGCTGCAATACCTATTGATTGCGCACCCTTAATCGTTTCCATGACGCGAACGATCTGAGCCGGTGATTGATTGCGGATCACTCAAATTAAGTACATGAATACGCGTCCTTATCTATCCTTTTCTCCCTTCCATGGCAATTCTGTGTCGAACCTCTTTCTTACAACATGAGCATCCACTTCTAATCCGCTGTTCGTGCATGTGTTGCTGGCTTTCAGGGTATGGTCCTAGATTAAACCCACATTTAATGCCACAGAGGATAGATACTTTCATACTTAGCGCAGTTGGAGTATGCGACAGACTCATAAACAGCACTCGCTGGAGACCCCTGCCGGCCACTCCTAACCAAAGAGCAATCTCCAGTAGTTCACATACCATTCAACGATATTGGCGGTTGCTTTTTGAAGACCTGCTCTGGAGTTTCGCGGCACAGGACATATAAATGAGCTGACATATTCAGTGCAGTATATCCTTTGCACCAGGATATATGTGACAGCGCAGCCTAGGAATGTCACAGTACAAATACTACACGCTAAACGGGGGCAGGAGCAGTATTCTCCAAACCCAAAGGCCCGGAGTCTAGTCGAGGAACACAAGTTATTTCAAATAGATTTGTTGGCCATTTGCTTCTGCTCAAAATTGAAATAATCCTTCAACCCTACAGCTGGGCGTTGTAACATTCAGATGGGCCACTTTGACGTTTCATCTTGCTCTCTGGGCTTGCATCAGGCAGGGACGACAATTCCTCCATCCTTCCACGAGCTGCCATCATAAACTTGGGCTGCAATGGCGCCGACAGGGTTCAATTTCTTGTAAAATAGAGTCACCTTGCCATTGACAACAAGAGCACTGAAGCGTGTTCCGGGGTAAAAGGGTGCAACCTCAACGGTTCTGTCATCAACGCGGTGTTTGATTTTGGAGGGGCTGCTCTTGTCTGCAAAAAAGACATGCTTCTTGCCATCATTCACTGTAGCAAGGGGGGTACTGTTTCCCACTTCACTTGCTGGGACAAGGGTTTTCTTGTCTGGACAGGAAAAGCTAGTCAGATATCTGCGATATAGATATGTTTCGTCACAGGGAGGCTTACCATGCCATGTGTTGTCCTGACTGACCCAGTGATTGATATTTTGTCCATGGTCCTGATAGTAGAGGTCAATGGTCCCCTTGACGATACTACTTGCCAGGTCGGTTCCTGGGAGTGCCAGAACGCTCTCAGGTAACACTGTTTCGGTATACCACGGACTCTTCGGGACCCGGCGGATCTCGGTGATTTGTAGTTGAGCACCGCGCTCTCTGCTGGATGTCAGTAGCATTCGAAGAAATGCACCAATTGGAAGGTCTTACGTATTGAAGTAGACCCATTGGGATCCATCCGGATTCCAGTCGGAGCCATTGAATGACCCACCAGTAATCCGGGAGATCGACGCAGGATTTGCCGAAATTCCATCCAGCTTCCCATCTGTCCAGGTCCCGTCGGAAAGAACCTTAACTCTGTCGGCAACTTTCGCGCTGGAATCAAGGTAGACGACATGAATCTATACCCATAGTCAGCTGAGGACACCGCTCCTGGTTTACCCGTGTATTGGATTATACATACGGTCGACTTCTTTTCAAAATCCCCGTCGTGCTGAACATAGTATGCAGTCAGAGCCGAGCCACCCAGGGCAGCGTTACTAGTGACCGTGGAAGCCTTGGTCGTCCAGCTTGAGCCTGACTCAGAGTGGGCTTCGATGATATCTTTCCCGTTCTGATAATACAGAAAGCTGTCTTTGCCATTGGTTGTGACCGCAGCCAGCGCAGTGTTGACAAGGGAGCTCATCTTGTGCGGCAGAAATGGCTGTGTGGTAGTAGAATGATTTCCGGTAAAAGAGAAACGGTTGCTTCGCTGATGTTTGACAGAAGAGCAGGCTGGGCTTTATATCTTGGAGGGACGGACTTTGCGAAGGTGACAGTTAACCACAAAGACAGCAGGAGCGCCATACTGAGGCCAGTCGCAGCCAAGATGATGTGCTTGAGGGATTTCCTGCGTGCGGGGATGCCAAATATCTGATGAAAGATGATGCCATCCTGATAGATGGCCGAGGCCTCAGCAGAGCGAAAGTGTGCTGCATACGCTTGGAGAGGTGCGGCACTCCATAGTAACCCATGCACCTATGTGTTGGACGCATCTCAGAGGTCTGCTCAAGCAGTGGAATGGTGGAATGAACATGTGAAGACATTGCCATTTGCTGAATGTGACGGCCAGAACTTGCATGGCTGGCTGACCTGTGTGAGGTGCAAATTTCAACTGGATTGCAGAACCCAATGGCATCCTCATTCGTGCTTTTTTACGTCACAAACTGCAACAAATATTGCGAGTTGCATTACTGTTATAAATCAAAACTGTACTGTGCATTAAGCCATTCAGCTCGTTGCATATGCTTTGTGAACGTCAAGATGGACATTCTCCAGTCCATGGCGTTCAGACTCCTATATCACACTTCCCTCTTACATTCCATACCACCCCCTTCTAGAACGGAGGGAATTTCGAGTCTAGACAGGAAATACATCCACAAGTGCAGTATTTTCAGAGCATATGCCCCACGTTGGTTTATGGCGCGATTATTCTACGTGTTATGCATGCCAAGAGCTGAAGCGATCAGCGTCTCGTTGGGTGTTCATTCGCCCATCATTGTTCACGTAGTGCGAGTCATGCATTAGGACATGCTTCTTCACCAGCCGGATGTCGAGGAAACTCAGACCCCTGCAGGCTAGTCTCGAGCATGTCCATTCTTCCTTGGCATACCGCGCATCCCTGTTCCTTGGCTTCTACCCTATGGCATAATGTGGCCATACGGAAACAGTGTAACTGGGTGATTTCTATCGTCAGTGGTGTGATCACATATTATCGTCGCTTCATGCTATGGAAGTGCTTTAACTTGGTCTGATAACCTAATGTAAACTTGCTAGAGTAGACAGGTAACTGAGCAAAAGGCCTTTGCCTCATTACGACCTTTGTTATTAATGAATCATGTCCCTCAACTCACACAACACTGCGATTCCATGGTTTTTTCATCCACCACCCAGCAGCCACTACATGCGCTCCTTCGTAATGAAAATAAGTGGAAACCTTTCAAGTGCCGACTGCTGCAGGGTTATAGTACACTGACTGTGGGGTGGATTACTTTTGTTCATCCACATCCTCGAATTACTTGATCATATGCAAAGAAGCCTTACATAGCTCCGGCGGCAGTGTGTCTATAAATCGACAAACATCTCAGAGACTGTCAGCTTTGAAAGGAAGGGGCCGCTCCCTATAGTGCTAGCCGTATGCCGAGCGATCATTAAAAACTCGACCAGACCCCTTTCTTACTGGTAATTGCCAATGTTCCCCAGGCTGCTGTGTCAGATCCGGAATTTACCACTTTCAAGGGTGGAGAGCTACGACAGGATTAATCAAAGCAACGCGTCTTAGAACGCCAAGGAAAGATGAACTACCTATCATGTAGCGAGAGCTTCTCAGCTAGCCTTCATGTTTGATGCGCCCCTGGCTGCTGTGTTAGCCATTTTCTACTCTGGCTGAAGCGCCAAAGGAGCCAATGAAGGTGCTCACACCTTGAGCCACACGCTCGGCATGCATGGATCTATTTAAAACCCGAAGCAAATATGGCTTCGTTGCTTTTTCCTCTTTCTTTCCTTCTTCTTAGCCAGCCTTGATCTAAGGTCCCTTCAGTATGTATTATTCTAGTCTTAAATTGATCCATATTGACGACTTTATCAGATCGTCTTTTGGCTAGAACGAGTACTTTGTTCAGGCGTATGTTGTATAGATGCGCAGATGGTAGACATGACCTATGCCATCAGCCCTAAATGCAAGATCCTACATCATTGAGATACCTCCACTGGTTCAAGGCCAATCGGAATGTCCGACATTCCACATCTCTGAGAAGATATCCGGATGTATCAGCCGCACCACCAATCCTTTTGACTAGAACAATTCGTTTATGGTACTATGTTACATTCATTGTCAATATTGCCTAAGATAATCCTCAATAGCACCTTGTGTCGGGGCTTCCGCTGCACGAAGGGTACGAAAGTATCCACACAATATTGCATTAAGCTCCGCCCACCCTGAAAGGTGACTGCCCTTGACAAATTCGCCTTGAAGGGTTCTGAGTGTGCCACAGATTTACGTCAACATACTCGTCAAGCGTATACCAAGCATTCCAATTCGTAGGTTCACGAAAGACTCGGCGAACCTAGCCAAAAACCGTCTGGAAAAGTACAGCTGGAACGCCATGTTGGAAGACTGGGCTGGCTGAATACCCCGGGGCTACGTTTGAGGTAGTCTGCCGTGAATGCCATAGGATTTGGATTTAATGATTTTCTCGATTCATCTAGGACAGCCGTAGTGAGGAGCAACATTAAATGAGATACCCAAATGTTATAAATACACGCTCCCTTCATCTATTACACCAGTTCATCAACACTTGGATATCTTCGACTCCCTTTTCATCAAACCTGTCCATCTGTTGAAATCCCGCCCTTGTCTGGAACTCAAACCTCCAACATGCATTTGCAAGCACTTGTGCCCCTTATCCCCCTCTTTGCCAGCCTTACCGTTGGTCAATCATCTAGCACAGCGAGAGCGCTTTACTACAAAGTCTGCCCTGAACACGACGGACAGGAGAAAGCAATCAACTCCAACGTCTTGGTCACGTACCATTGCGATCAGCGGCCAACGAGTAGAGACAGAACGGTCATATCCGCTGGGAGTCCGGATGAATGCGCTACCATATGCAGCAAGAGCGCCAGCTGCGAAGCCAGCTTGTGGGCAGGTAAAGAGACCACAGCTGGCCGACAGGCGAACACGGCCAAGTCGTGCGTTCTTTACCACAGCCTGGGAGGCTCCCTCATCCCTGAATCACACGTCGTTTACATGACATACCGAGCAAAGGAGGACCCTCTTTTCCCGGATGAAGATGACGAGTGCAAGGATGACAAGGCTCGAATTGGACATTTGCAAGTCCAAGTGGACGATCTGAAGCGCCAGTTGGAGACTTGCAATGGGAAATGCGAAAAGGGGTGCTTCGAGTGCCCGGAATACGACCAGGACCATATCTATGACCGAGGAAACGATTACAAGGTTTACTGCGGCTTGCGTAAGTAGCTCTATTCTTTCATCCGCATCAAGAGTGTTGTCTTGTCTTCTAATGGGTGTATCACCTAGTCGACGATGCCGGCTGGACTTCAGACGATCTCGCTACATTCGGCGACAAGACCCCGAAAGAATGTGTTCAGGCCTGTACTGATACACCGAAGTGCAAGCGCGCCATCTGGGTAACCGCTCAACCCTCAAACAAAAAGGGGAGCTGTTGGCTGAGAGATTACACGGTGCGAGCTGGTCCTGTTCCCACGAAGAAGACGGGTTATAGCAGTGCTCACCTGCAGTGAGGGCATGAAATAGATTGATCCTTTGCCGCATGCACATAACTCTCTTCGCGCGATTTGAATGGAGTGGTGCGCAGTATCTATACTCCTGCTTGGTATTCAACATATCTAGTATGCAATCACTATTGATGGGAATCGCCCAATCTCCTTTGTTTGGCTTTTATTTAGGAAAACGATAACAGATACTCTCTGTATTTCATATTAGTTATAAATTTACATCCGTCTTGTTGTTCTTGCTAATCTCTGTCCCTGTATGAGTGTTTCTTATACTGTGGCACTTGTCTAAGGTCAGGGCTAATCCTATATGTCTATCAACATGAAGAGAGTGCACACCCAGTAGTTTGTCATGCGTACTGACTGCAATTCGGCACATTATTGAATAGTTCTATTATCTAGTTCACATCAAGACGTACATGGTATAATTATGATTGATTCTACAAGGATGAACAAGACTGAGAGGTATATTCCGAATCTCAAACACTCCTCGCCGGGTCGTCACTCGAATAAACCGACATCTCAACCTGCTTCGTAATGCCTTGATCCGACCGATTCGACGACGTTTGATGGCTACCGATAACGGTGTTGTGCGAATAGGGGTTTAGAATACGCTCAATACTACACGTTTCGGCATCGTTATTCGTCGCTAATTTACGGCGCGACTGAGTGGTTGCATTCTCACCTGTGCGACGATTCCCAGAAAAGGGGTTGTGCAGTTCATACGAACGGGAGAAGCTGTGGCTGGAGAATTTCTTGACGGAAGACATGACCAGCGGCCGGATGCAAGGGATCGACGAGGTGATGATAATCACGGCGTTTTCCACGTAGCCCCAGCGGATGAGCTCAATGCCGCCGGAGGCACCTAGGTTCGTGATGCTGGGGAGTTGGTTGAGTTTCGTTGTTTTCACGATAGATGCCACCATCGCCCTGGGCAATCGTTAGCAGCTGTGCGTTTCCTATGCTGAGAGAATCGGAGAACGTACACAAGACCCAGACTGAGCAGAACGATCAAGCCGAGCTTGACGCGCGTTTTCAGGTTGAGATTCCAAAAGACAGGGATGGGGAACACGGCCAGAAACAAGTCGGTGGCTGAGTTGACGGCTGGTAGGCAGTTAGTTACGCGGTCTTGTGAGAGAAGAAGGCCATGGCGAGGAGACGTACTGTTGGAGTAGTAGGCAAACTTGATAACTGCGCTACTGTCACCGCACGTCGTCTTCACGGTCGGATCCCAGAGAATCCGGACATCACGACAGATGCTAAGAGGGAGCACAGCGGAGACGATGTTGCCGGAGAGCTGCCAGATCATGATAAACCATAATGCGAATCGGTACGTTTTGTTGGAGCCGAGGATAGCGAGGAGGTATATGATAAAGGAGCAGCGGGCAATTGTCGTGCTCATAGTCACAATCGGAACCTCAATCGCGATGGCTTTCAACACGGCCTCCATATCCTTAAGCGGCACGGTCTCCAGGTTCTTTCCAAAACCATGACTGACTGACAAGGTCAAAAAGACCGTTGCGACGATCGCCAGAATCTGGGCGAGTCAGTTGACGTAAACCTTCAGGTATGGGGGAGGCCAACAGAGATAATTGGCATAGGGGTGGGTAAGGGCACATACCATAGCAATGATCATCAAGATGTCATCCACGCGGAATTGGCCGATCTTCAGCTTAGCGAAGACCCTGAGAACAACAATCAGCGTCGCCAGGGCCACGGCGACCCAGATTCCCGTCCGCAGGGCTGGGCCGCCATCAGGTTCACTTGCGCCCATGTCTTTTGCACCCTGAGCAGGACCGGGATGGTGAAGGAGAGTTACAGGGGGTGGACTTATTGACAGGGCCTCTTCAACCAAAACATTGTGGAGGCACCGCAGTGTCAGTCATACTGGACCTGGTCCTGCCAGCTAGATGGCGTCGCACATATAACTAGTCATGACTTTTTAAAGTTTGAACAAGAGATCTCAATCCGGGCTCGAGCTGCCTGACTTTCCGGCTGGATCGAGGGATAAGCGAGTAGGAAACCAAGGTTACCCCCAAATTTTCTCAGGATCCGGCATTGCTTGTGATCCCCGTGGAAGATTCTTTGACAAATAGTGCTCTCAGGTCGGCGACATACCAGCCAGGTACCCGATTGTGGCTAATTTCAACCGAAATTGGACGCTCTCTTTGGCTGACTGGTGACCATAGGATTCGGTATTGCGCCGCTGAGATTTGAGGGTGTCTCTTGAGAACCAAAGATTGGCGTGGGTCTTTATTGAACTTAAAAAATCCCGACTGCCAACCATCAGGCAGGCCTAAATGGCATCTGGGACTTCTCGAAAGAGGATCCACTGTGCATGATGCACGCCCTGGCCGAGGCGCCGTGAGCTGCAGCCGTTTTATACGAATTCAGTAACAGTGGAATCGACAAGCGCCGGCGACAGTTTCATGTCAATGTTAATCTCGACGCTCAGAGGGGGAGAAATAGTAGATCAGACTGGTGACAACCCTGAATTTTGGACTACATGACAAGAGCCTTGCCACCGGAGTAACGGAAATGACCCATTCCTTCCAGGATCCGCCGGTTGTTCCAAACCCTTGCGCCGTTCGGCGTATACGAATTTTCAGATATAGTGGGTTACATTCGCCCTTACTACTTCCACCACGGGAGAAAAAGCAAGACACCGAGAAACCGAGTCTATGCCCAGTTCGGCAAATACACGAGGCAATGCTTGTTCTCCATGGGCTTGCGCCAACTGGGTCCGCGTCCAATAATTCGAAGACTGGACCTTTTGTGGCAGACTCTCAGACCAACAGGCAGACCCACTCCTGCGCAGGCAGAAACAGAGTTTTCCGGTCCAGAACCGGAAAAGGTTTAGGGCTTCAGGTTGGAAAAAGGGATGACGAGATGGAATACTCCTATGATGTTAGTCAGAGACCAGCCTCGGAGCACTTGCATGGCATGGTCGCTACCAGAAGGGAGGTATAGAAGTTCCCCTTGGCATCGGATATCGTGCCTAGCCTCATGGAAGTGCGGATCGATCTGGGGACGGACGTAAACTGAGGATGGACAATGCGCCGAGAGATATATCAGATGCATTCCTCGGATGTCGCCGGCAAATCGTGAAGCGATATCCACCCCGTTCTCGACGGTTTGGTTCCTCCGCCCAGACTAGACGCGCTTGGGGAAACATCTCCGGACGCTGCTCATGAGGTTCCTGGCGACGATGCCTCCGCCACAGACAATAGATCAAGATGCCTCCCCTGACGCCTCGGTGTAGTGCAAAAGCGCAGAATTAATGTGCGATATAAATTCACCCTGGTCCGAGCCGTTGCGACCGTGAGATTTTTGTGCTCGTCGTAAATCCCTCCCTGCTTCCGCATTCTCTCCCCTGCACAACCATGAAGGGCTCCTGGATGTTGGCCGCCACCGCGGCGGCGCTCACTTCAACTGCGTTTGCGGATTACAACTGCCACTGCCTCCCTGGTGACAGCTGCTGGCCCTCCACGTCGTCCTGGGAATCGCTCAACACCACGGTCGGTGGTCGCTTGGTCGCAACCGTGCCTATTGGAAGCCCCTGCCATGATCCCAACTACGATGCCGCTGCTTGTGCGGCGTTGAAGTCCGACTGGACTACCCCACTGCCTCAGTATGTGCTACGAGTGATGGTTGCTTCATGATTGTCGCTTAACGCCTGCGACCCCGGCAATGAGAAGATACTAACGGTAGTCCCCGAACAGTCTCGAGTCTTCGTCCTCGATCATGCAGACCTACTTTGCCAACCAGAGCTGCGACCCCTTCACTGCGGAGTCCCAGCCATGTCTCCTGGGCAACTTTGTCAGCTACGCAGTCAACGTCTCGTCCAGCGACGATGTCATTGCCGCCGTGAAGTTTGCCAAGGAGAACAACATCCGTTTCGTTATCAAGAACACTGGTCATGAGTGAGTTTCCTACGGAATTGCCCTGCATCTGGACAAGGCTGACCAAGATTCCTCCAGCTATATGGGCCGCTCGACCGGCGCTGGGGCGCTCTCCGTGTGGACGCACCATCTGAATGATATTGAATACAAGGATTGGTCGGATTCGTACTACCAAGGTCCCGCATTCCAGGTTTCCGCTGGTGTGATGGGATACCAGATCCTCAACGCCGCCCATGCGAAAGGGCTGGCCGTTGTGACCGGCGAGTGCCCGACGGTCGGCCTCGCTGGTGGCTACATCCAGGGTGGTGGTCACTCGGCCCTGAGCACCAAGTTCGGCCTGGGAGCCGACAACACGCTGGCCTTCGAGGTTGTCACCGCCGACGGCCAGCTGGTCACGGCCTCTCGCACCCAGAACTCCGATCTGTATTGGGCTCTGAGCGGCGGTGGTGCTGGCAACTACGGTGTGGTCATGTCCGTCACCGTCAAGGCTCACCCTGACGCCAAGATCTCTGGCGCTGGCCTCCAGTTCGCAGCCACGGCCAACAACACCGAGGCCTTCTGGGAGCTGTCGCCAAGTTCCACACCCTGCTGCCCGAGATGACCGATCAGGGCGTGACGGTGATCTACCAGATGGTGTCGGGCATCTTTGCCATCAACCCCTTGACCGCGTACAACAAGACCGCCGACGACGTCAAGTCCATCCTGGCGCCCTTCACCACCGCCCTCGCGGACCTCGGCATCACCTACAAGGTCTCCTACACCGAGTATGACACCTATTACGACCACTACAACAAGTACATGGGCCCTCTGCCCTACGGCAACCTCGCGGTCGCCACGTACCAATACGGCGGCCGTCTGATCCCGCGTGACGTGCTCGAGAACAACCCCAGCGGCATGGCCTCCGTGCTGCGCAACCTGACCAGCCACGGCGTCGTCGCCGTCGGCGTGGGCATGAACGTCTCGCAGCCGGGCAACGTCTCCAACGCCATCTTCCCGGCGCTGCGCAACGCCGCCGTGACCATGCAGATCGGCACCAACTGGAACGAGACCGCGCCGTGGTCCCAGATGGTCGCGGACCAGTACAAGATCACCAACGAGTACGTGCCCCAGCTCGAGGCCGTCACCCCGGGCAGCGGCTGCTACCAGAACGAGGGCGACTTCCGCCAGCCCAACTGGAAGGATACTTTCTTCGGCAGCAACTACTCCCCTCTGCTCACCGTCAAGTCGAAGTGGGATCCCACCAACTTCTTCTACGTCCTCAAGGGTGTCGGCAGCGATGCCTGGACTGTGTCCGAGTCGGGCCGGATGTGCCGCGCCTAGTAATTGCTTTCCGGCGTTGTTTTCCTTTTTAAGTTACATAGACTTATAGACTGTGATCTTTCTCTGATACCTTGTGATACAAAAAGAATTTCTAATACACTATGAGAATTAATGAACATATCTTTCTATAATCCAACATGTCATCCATTTCCGTGTCTATATACTAGGAAGTAGACTTCCGTACAGGGAGAGTGAACGTGGAGACGAAAGCACTGCAGGACAGGCATGTCTTTTTGCCGCAGATCTTGGGTCAGCCCGTGGATCCCAAATATGAGCACAAGGTGATGACCCCACGTGTGTGATAAGGTTAAACCACGGCTCTTCCATGCATGAACCCTTCTCTATTAGGCACAATGTCCGTGTACTTGCTAGCATCTGTGGCGAACATGATCGCCAGTCGTAGTGGAGCATGTCGTCGGATCTAGCGTTGACCCAAAAATGGGACTCTATTAAGTACTATGCATTATCTAAACCAAATGACGATCATTCGAGACCCGGTAAGAGCTTCTATATGCCATGCCCCCGAACAATATCTAGTGTATTCTGCCCGGGCCGAGGTAGTCTTGCTTTTAAATCGATGGCTGTTAAACAAAGGATTCATTTTTTCGTCTCCGGGCGGCGGAATCGTCCTGTGGCTCGAAGAAATCGCCTCGTTCGAGGTCGCTCTCGCCCTGGCCCTGGGATGAATTTCCCGGTCTCCCACTACTGCTGCCCCCGGTGGGTCCCTTCTCATCCCTCATATCCGGGTGATCATACACGGTCGGTAATTCCTCATCGTAGCCATGCACGCCACCCACACTCTCCATAGTAAACGGACTAGCCGTGGGAGCGTCCAGCGCGTTAAGTTCCTCTGGGGAGAAAACCCACGGGAACAAGAAGGCGCGGACGGGAATAAGCAACAAGATAATAACAGGGAACCCAATAGCAGCGATAGTCTGGGTGATGGCAAAGGTGCCACCGAAACCAATCAGTTCAATAATGACAAACAGCCAGATGGACCAGCGGCGTTCCAAACGCTTCAGCGGATGCGATGAAGCAGTGAACCCGTGTTCCTGGGCTAGGAAGATCAGCTTCTGGGTGATACCGTTTCCCTCCAGGGCCTGGACGCCCATGACGAAGAAGAGCCCGGCTAAGACGCTGCGGGATCAGATGGATGACAATCAGCAGTGGCCCGGACATGGTGCCGAGGGTCATTATTCCCTGTGCGAGATTGCTGAACCGCTGTTCGACGACGTGGTCTATCACTCGCACCACTTTGCCCTTGTTTTCTTCGTTCTCGTCCGTGACGTGTCGCGTGACGCATAGCGACGCGGTGTGGAAGGGCGCTTGTGGGATCAGTCCGTTCGGCGCGGGAAGGCCCAGGATTCCTGCCACTCCTGTTGTGATCCCCAGGAGGAACATGTCCCAGTGGAATCCGGCGGGTTTCCGTAGGGGAAATTCGCTGCCTTGTGCGATGAGCGAGGAGACTGGGATCCAGGGGTCAGCACAAGTGTTGCAGGGATGAAAGGGAAGCATAAAGTGGAAGAGTCTTACCGTTGTGGTCAAAGTAAAACAAGATCGTCAACAGCAAGGCGAATGGGATAGCGAGGAAGATATCGCCGACGCTGAGATCCCAGAAGCGCACCAGCCAACCACGGTCCGCTGTGGGAAAGAAGGATTTGCTGATCGGGAGAGTCGAGACGCTCACGTCACGCATATGTCCGAAGTGAACAAAGCCCGTGAAGAAGACGATGGTCAGTACGGTGCCGTAGTCCTCGATGAACTTTCGAACCCAGCGATGGAAGAGGCTGCTTTTGCCGATTTCACCACAGACCCAACCGCTCATGAGAACTAGCAATGCCACCATGATGCTGAGATATGCGGACGTCTCCCCGTCTGAACCCCATTGTCGGGTGAGGACCTGGATTCCCTTCTGGAGATAGACGAACGCTACATAGAACCCGAAAATGTCGCATGAGAATCGAGTGACGTATGTCAATCCATTGCACATATTGGTAATGGCGATGATCCAGTGCATAATGAGTGACCATCTGCAAAATAAAACAGTGTCAGCGGGTCATACACTACCCCCGAGGCTGGAACCGCACTTACATGCCTATCCATGCCATGAAGCCCAGGTAATTGGTGCCTCGCGGTGCGATGATATCATAAACCGTGTAGTTGAAGACCGTGATCGGACCTATCTACATGGTTAGTGACCAAGCTCCTAAGATTCGAGAGTGATGCGTTAATGGACTCTATCCACAACAGACAGAACACTGACCAGTGACACCGACAATGACAAGCGGCTGGGCAGCGAACAAGGAAAACACCACTGCTCCAAGCACCGATGCGAGCAGGACTTCGTTCACGCCATAGTTCTGGTGGGTTTTTTCAAACATATCCAACGAGAAGGCCAGGGCCGGCAGGATGCTACGGCAGTATCAGTATTGCACCCAATATGCAGTCCTATTATATGGTCGGCGCATTGATGAATTCATCAGACGGATTCGTCGTCAATGTACCTACTTGGCAAAGAACATATAAACTGTCGCCGGAACCACTCGATAGTCCCACGCGTCGGTCCAATCACTTATAAAGAACGGAGCTCTCCTCTTAATGTCGTGAATCATGCCTCGGAAGAAGTGTATGCGCCACCATCTTGATTTCCTCGCAGACGTCGCGGCAGACCGACGAGTGGCGTGTCGCGACAAGCGTTCGGGGTCCTGTGAAGCGCTGGGATCGCCCATTTTGCGCCGGCCACCGAAAATGTGGTGTGGTGTGAAGATGCCTCTGGGCTGGAGGAGTGAACAAATAACGATGTTCTTATATAGACTCCACTCGGAATTAAAAACTGGAGATCTATACTCGGAGGGGGGAGTTCCGGTTGGGGAAGCGAATCGGCAAAAACACACCCTCTCAACAGGCAAATCAACAAGTACTACTATGATAAAATAAAATAAAAGAAGAAGGGGTAGGAGGAAAAAGAAGACGACGACAAGGTGTAGGACTTTTTTCTATTGACTAGTAGGAGATTTTCCCTTTTTTTAACCCTCGGGAAAACGCAGCTTTTTCTTCTGCCGCATGAGCCAGGGAGAATAAAGACTGGTGGAGGCGCGCCTTAGTTAGGCACTGGCCAAATAGCATGTCGAACTAAAACTCGGATCATCTGGAAGGCAAGAGAACTATTGGTGGCCAGAGTCGAACCTCGACGTGCCTGGGGTTCTGGCGTCGGGGTAAAAAGATTCAGAATTTATGAGATCGGAAAAGTTTTCGCGGATCCCGTGCCTCTCTCAACCCTCAAGAGCAAGGCCACCGATGCAAGCAGTATCAGTCGTAGTATCGACTATCTCTAAAGCTCATGTCTCAGAAGGCGAAGGGAGAAGAACAAGGCTATCTAAACAATCCAGGGAACTTCATAAAAACACCACCCAGCTGCTGAGCCAAATGATATCTTCACGGACCCGCATTTTCGTTTCTTGCCTCCCGAGGTGGAGATGACGCCAAGCAAAACTGACCGCAATCTCTGCCTTCATTGGACTGGTGGGTCAGTCAGAATGCTGCCCGGGCAGAAACTTGGCTGATGATGATTGAGTTGAAGAAGGCTTGGAATTGTTGACCATCGCTTGTCTGCAGTTCTTTGGTTCCTGGACCACTAAGCGGCTGACTGAGGTGGAATGATAGATTTACAATGGTTGAGCCACTTGCATACCGTCCATAGATACCGCCAGGTTAAAGAAACAGAAAAGAAAATAAAATAAAACTTTTCTATTTAGAATGGAAAGACAGCACATTATACATTACAGGATGAGTCAACACCCATGCCCGTCCAGCAAGAGTAGCAAATCAATTGGTGACATTTGGCTCGTTGGTATACAGGGATGCAATTGAACCCGGTACTCACATCGGTAATCGTACAGGTAAAGTGGAAACAAGAGTGAGCAGGGTGTCCACTCAAGCATTATGGACTATATGCTGGTGGCGTATCCTCTGCAGGGTCACCAGTATGCATGATTCCTTGCGACGGTAGAAACCTCCTGCCTGTGTAGACTACCTGGATTGGGAGCTCCAGCTTAACCGCAGCGTGGCCGTGCCCGGAAATAACCATATATATTTTCAGACTATATCTTCTGGAGACAAGCATGGAAGAAAATGATGGTGTTAGATATGCAGGATTGTGGCACTTGAATGTCATTTCTGCCTCACTCTCCCAGATACTCTCAGTACCTAAATTGATGATTAGCAGCTCCGTATATTAGAAGGCTATAGACTACCGAAAGTCCAAATATACTGCTTCCAAGGGATATACGAACCCATTTCTGATAGTGTCCAACGAGGAAAGCAAATCTTCCTCAGCTGGCTTGGGTAGGACTTGCGCGTTTCGAAGGTGAACGGAAAGGCGGCAGCATCACACGTCGCTGGTGATCGTCGTTGTGGTTGAATAGAGATAAATGTGCTGGCCTTAAGATTCGAGCGAACGATGCCATAGAACCGCGGCGGAGGTATTCGCATGGCGCCGCCGTTCTTCGGCGATCCGTATCGAAGCCGCAATCGTACTGATGTCGCAGCGCCCTCTTTCTCCGGCGAAAATTCAAGAGGCAGTGGCTCGTGGCTATAAACGTGAAGTTTCCCAGCCGGTTGGAGTAACGGACTACGGAAAGTCTTCAAGGCAGAAAGTTGGTATTCTCCGGGGAAGTCTTCGGTACAAACTGGTGGTTGCCGTCCCTGCGAAGCCCACAATGTGAACGGCCGAGTCGTTTCCACCACGCAGTGCCCTTCAATTAGGAACTGCGCGCGTATTCGATAGTCAATATTGCAGGTTCCCTTAGAACATGAGACCGCAGTCCGATGACTCGCTGGCGAGAAACTGATATGCAGCGATGAGGGGATTTGCTGGCCGTATTTGTTCGACACGGCGCCTGTTAGACTATTAGGCACTAGAAATCGGAAGTGATAGCATTGATCTACGTCGCTGATAATCTGCTGCTCTAGATAGGTGGCATTCAAGTTAATAATCTACTTTGTCGAATGCCCTCGGCACTGGTCAGCCATGGATCTCGTTCAATCCTATGTTCGATAAGACGCCATGCCTTTTGATAAACGTATGTGTGATAAAGCATTGTCGGGGATTCCCCCACAAGGTCGACATGGTTGAATAGGGTTCCTGCGATGAAGCCTGTCAGATATTAAGGCATAAATAGTGCTGTCGCGCTTTTGTCTGTTGCTAGGGTTGTTCTTTACCTTCTAAGGCTATTTTCACTATGCCAAATACCGGAGCTCTCTGGTCTTTTGACGAAACAACAACTGTCCCTTTGACGCCTTGACCGCTCTCGAAGATAGGAAGATGCCCGTGTTTGCGATGGCCCGAGGTCCATGGCGTAGTATTGGGGAATAATATATCTAGACTAACAGCCATTGTGATGAGATCAGGCTGTGCGGTCGCGTCGCAGAGACATGATCGAGCGATGCTCGTCCCTCCATCCATCTCACGATTTGCGGCTCCATCCTGCCATATATAAACGCCCTCGCAGCGGTGAGACTTGCATTGTTTACTGCATGGTCACAAGGATGTGCCAGGAAACGTCGCTTCTTTCTACTGACCAAAAGAATCCCAACCTACTCACTAGGTTCCCTCCGAAGAGGCGCCGAAACCCAAATGACGGATATACTACCGGCTACCAGCCGTCAGGACAAACGAGATAAATATTGGAGCGCACAATGGCAGCTACTTCCCGGGCTCGTTTGCAGTTGCGGTGTAACATAATGACGTCCAACGTGCATGCGACGAGTCCGATAGCTTGCTTGGCTGCAGGGTGACGTTTCCTGGAAACACGTCATGCTAGATAGCGAAGTTGGACAGGTAGGAGTAGACTGTGATCTAGAATCCGGTTCTACTGTTCTGTTTTGCCTGCCTGAAAAGTCCAACTTACAACGCAAGTGGCACTCTTAGCTGTTCGCTATGCCGCATACCCCACTAGCGGCATTCTTCTTTTTCACTTGTCGATCTGTAGAAATAAGCATGGTAATTATTTGGCGTAGTCTCCACGCTCTCTAGTGCATAGCCTGCGCAAAGACGAACAAGCGTGCGCCATTACTTAATATTGTACTTTGCCTACTTACCCCGCTATATCTTGTGTGTAGTAACAATGCCAGTTTAGCCTAATTAAGGAGAAAAAACATCCATCGATAGTGATAGCGTATTTTATGGAGTTATAGTGATAGGCAGCCTCTCCAATATGTAACTGTCATGTATGGTATATTAGGGTTTACATTATATAGTCAACCGATGACCCAGACATAATACAAAAGTCTTTGAATTGGTATCTTACCAGCATTAAATCCAGTACTCTATATATATATTTTAAACCAGATTGCTCATCACTGGCTAGGAGATAATGCCACCATCAAGAGCTACTATACAAAGAAGAGATGTACTGATCATACTCCGGGGCCCGCAATGAGTGTCTTGATCCCCTTCCCTGATCTCACCTCCTCAAACGCCTGTGGCGCATCCTCAAACTTGAAAACTTGCGTGATCAGCGCCTTGACATTGATTTTCCCGGCAGCAATCAGCTCAATCGCGAGCTTGTAATCGCCACTCGAATATCGGAAGCTCCCCCGAATAACGAGCTCCCTTGTGCATGCCGTCGTGATTGGAAACTTGACTTCCTCCTTGCCCATCCCTCCTTGAACATACGTTCCGCCAGGTTTCAAGATATGGATACCTGTGTAAACCGAGGGCTCTGCACCAGAGGCTTCGATCACAACATCCGCGCCTACTCCGAGTTCATTTTCTTCTCGAAGCCGAACGGCGTTATCAGCCGGAGAGGAGTCCAGGCCCGGGAGGAAATGAGCAGTTGCCGCGTAGGCACGGGCGAATTCCAACCGCTTAGTCTGTACATCAACGACAATCACCTTGGAGGCCCCAAAGGCTCGTGCCACCGCACAGCACAAGAGGCCAACGGGCCCTGCACCAAATACCACTACCGACTGTCCCGGCTGCAGCGCGGCCTGTCGAACGAGATGCACCGCAACACTGAGGGGCTCCACAACGGCGCCCTCTTGTAAACTGACACTCGGAGGAAGCCGGTAGCAAAAGTCCTCTGGAAGGACATAGTACTTGGCCAAGGTGCCGTCAAAGGGAGGAGTAGCAGCAAAGGCCATCTCGCTGCACAGGTTGTATTTCCCGGCTTTGCAGAACGTGCATCGCCGGCAGGGCACTCCTGGTTCTAGGGCCACACGATCGCCCACTGTCAGCGTTTTCACCTTGGAGCCAACCTTCTCGACTACTCCAGCCGACTCATGGCCCAGCACCATCGGCTTTTCAAGCACAAATTGGCCAATTCGGCCCCGCTGCCAGTAGTGGACCTAAACAGTAGTTCAGCCTGAAATCCTTTCCATTATTTTCTCCAAATATAAAAATGAGAAGGAGCCTACATCACTGCCACATATCCCAGTGTATTCAATCCTCACGGAAACATCGTAGGGCTCCAACAAGTCTGGTATCGGGCGATCCTCGAACTCAAGCTCTTTCACGGCTTTCAGCACCAGCGATGGGTTCTGGGACGGCAATGTCAGGTAAGGACTTGGAGTCACAACAGAGCTTTTAAATTTCTCACTTTCTCTTTGTTGATCATATTTTCTGGTCTGCCTTTTTTTGAAATATGCAGCTTTCGGTGCTCAAGAAAAAAAGCAAACAACACGGACACACAATTCGACCTGTCACACAAGAGGTCTTCCCTCCCTTTTAAAGCTCATCCTGGGGCGAAATCTACTAGCAATTTAGCATGATCCATTTCTCTAGATCATGAGGTTTGAGCTGTGGAGAGAGGAAGCTAGTACTCTCCACGCAGTGGACAGTATGGCTGTGATCGGGAATGGACGGCGTTTTGGCCGACGGGGCAGTGGATGCGTGTGGATCTCTGGGGAAAGAATGTGGATCCCCCGATGCATCCGGCCACCGAAACTCTTTGGAGCAGTTGGAAATCCAACGGCAAAAGACGCCGTTTGCTCCGTCTGGTATGTTCACCGGTCATTCTGGGGATCAAGTTCCATAGCACAGCACATTATCATCGCCAACATTCTGAAGTGGCCCGACTCTGGTCTCGAGTCTTAAGTACCATCGTAGCTCCCGTAGAATCCTAGAGTAGCAATTTCCTACAGAGCAATCCACCATGCAACTCCAACAGAGCTACTACATAGGCGTCGACGTGGGCACGGGGAGTGCACGCGCTTGTGTCATCGACCATACTGGAGAGATAGTCGGATTGGCGTCCGAAGATATTGCTCTCTGGCATTATGGACAGGTGTACTATGTGAGTTGTGCCCAACGTCTTATGTGTCTGGTGACGACCAACGGTTAACCTGGTGTATTGGGTAATAGGAACAATCCACCACAGACATATGGCGCTGCATCGGCTTAGCAGTGCGTCGCGCACTCGCCGGGAATAAAATCGACCCATCGCACGTCCGTGGCATTGGCTTTGACGCAACTTGCTCTCTCGCTGCCTTTTCCACCGATACCGACGAGCCCGTCTCCGTTACTGGTCCCGAGTTTAATAGTGAGCGAAACGTGATCCTGTGGTTGGATCACAGAGCCGGAAGCGAAACAGACAAGATCAATGCAACTGGACACAAGGTATTGAGCTATGTGGGAGGGAAAATGTCTATTGAGATGGAGATCCCCAAGATCCTGTGGCTGAAGAATAATATGCCGACCGAGACATTCGCAAAGTACAAGTTCTATGACTTGGCAGATGCTCTCACTCATATTGCGACCGGTAGTGAGACGAGGAGCTTGTGTAGCCTCGTCTGCAAACAGGGCTATCTGCCGAAAGAACCTGAGAAGGGCGCGGCCGGTGGATGGGCTGTGGACTTCTTCGAGACCATTGGACTTGGCGAATTCACAGAGAACAATTTCACTACAATTGGGGGAAAACATGGCCTGGTGAGTTGCATATTTCAAGGCGTATCCAACATTGGGTCGGTTCTTTCCAGAGGTGCCACAAGTATCTAATCAACGGTTGAACAGAATGGTCAACATCTCCATGCAGGAGAGCTCGCCGGCTATCTATCTGAGAAAGCAGCCAGGGAGCTAGGTCTACCAGTCGGCATCCCCATTGGTAGTGGTGTGATCGACGCCTATGCTGGCTGGATAGGCACCGTCGGGGCCAAGGTTGATCTCCCCAACAACTCTAGTGACAAGAGACAAGAGCTCTTTACTAGACTCGCTGCGGTGGCAGGAACGTCCACATGCCACCTCGTCATGTCGCCGAATCCGGTTTTCGTGCCTGGAGTTTGGGGACCGTATCGAGATGTTTTACTGCCGGATTGCTGGATGGCCGAAGGAGGGCAATCTGCAACGGGCCAGCTGCTCAAACATGTCATTGAAACCCATCCAGCATATAACCAGGCGAAGGATTTGGCAGAAGTGAAGAAGACCAACATTTTCACGTTTCTGAACGAGCATCTACGGGAGATGGCTGAGAAAAGCTACGCCCCCTGTGTTGCCTACCTCGCACGCCATTTCTTCTACTACGGCGACCTTTGGGGCAATCGATCTCCCATGGCCGATCCAAAAATGACAGGCTCTATCATCGGCTTGACAAGCGATACATCAATCAACAGTCTTTCAATCCTCTACTACAGCACGTTGGAATTTATCGCGTTGCAGACCCGGCAAATCATTGAGAGCATGAATCGGTCCGGTCATCACATTACCTCCATTTTCATGTCGGGATCTCAATGCCAGAATGACATCCTAGTCAACTTGATTGCTTCTGCCTGTGACATGACTGTTGTGGTTCCGTTTTATGTCAATGCAGCAGTGTGTCACGGCGCCGCGATGTTGGGTGCCAAAGCTGCCACCGCAGATGCGAAAGGAAACACGACCGACCTCCAAGAGATTATGGAGAAGATGAGCAAGCCAGGCAAATGTTTCTTTCCGAGTGAGGATGAGAGAGAGAAGAGTTTGCTGCGGGCAAAATACCACGTCTTCCTCGACCAATGTCAAAAGCAGAGAGAGTACCGGGCGCTGGTTGACCAGGTCCTGGCAAAGTGAGCCATGAGGGCTATGAGTTCACCAGCATAATGGAGGTCGCGCGACACTAGCAACTCAGTGGACATTGAATCAAACGATCACAAAGCGCAATGCGTCGTTGGCAACCTAGCGTTGCAGCATACCGTCACCTACCAAGATACCATCAATGGTCCAAGGGCCTAGATCAATACTCGCAAACAGGCATTCTATACTGACAAGAGGTGCTTGAAGCGAATTTAGCTAATTTCTAATTGTTCATGAATTTGGGCTAGATAGGGCAAAATGAAACATAATGATAACGTCTACCTTATGAGTGATTTACCCACTAGAAATATATCTTTAGGGACGCGGGGTATCCTTTTACAGAGGTGAATCTA